GTTCCCATTAAACCTATATCTCCTACACTCCCAGAATCCTTTCAAACAAAATCTGCACCACAACAATCATCTGACGTTCCTCCGTCAGAACCACAAACAACAAAACCAGCAGAACCAACTCCAACACCACAAGAACCTTCTCCACAACAACCTAAACTTCAAAAAACTTCTGTACCTGAACCAATACCATCTGAACCTATTGTATCTGAACCACCAAAATTTATACCTTCCAATCCACAACCTAATCCTCAACCAGAGCAACTCAAACCTACTGAATCATACATATCTGATTCTGAGGTTCTAGATATCCAACCCCTCAAAATTATGTTTGATGTATCTTCCACATCTTGTCCCTCATCTACCTCATCTGATTCATCTGAATTTGATATTCATCCAGAAGTAAGCTCACCCCTCTCTCAGAGGCTATGAACCTAAACAACCAGATACATCTATTTCATCTGATGCTATCATTCCTAAACACACTCCAAAACCTAACCCAAGAACATCTGAGTTTGTTTCATTTGCATCCTTTAAACCACATCCCTCTGATCCCCTTCCTTCTGGTCTAAAACTTAAAAACTTTTATACCAGAATAGAACCATCTGACCCTATCACTCCATACAAACCTAGTTCTTCAACTATTCTTCCATCTGTACTTCAAACCTACCTAAAACAACTACCAGATATCATTCCATCGGAACCTCTGCTTTCTTATAAATCTATTTTTATTCCCTACACTTCCACACCATTTGATGTCATTCCCTATGCATCAAATTTTAAACCATTTCTGTTTCACACTTCATCCAGATTCAAAACTGTCACTTCATCATCTGACCATTCCTCTTTTCCTTCTTATCCTCGTCCTCTATTTATTATTCCAACCTTTATCATACCAACTCCACAAAAACAAATCAAACCATCAACTCTGGAAGCCCTTCTTAAACCTAAACCTAGGCTAAATGTTGATGTTTTATTTGCTAATTTTATGAAAAAAATAAGGATGAGTTTAGACTCTGTGAAGAAGAGATGCCTGTCAACCATGAATTCAGATGAATCTGATGCTATTTGGAATAGCTTCATCTCCAGATTCAACACTGTTGCTTCAAATCTGAAGAGTGTCTGCTCTGATGATGCGAAGATCAGATTTGCTGAGACTACCAGAACAATGCTTTTGAATGTAACCATATCTCCTACATTGCTTCTTGAGGATGCACCTTCATCTTCTGGAGTGTTTGCTACAGAAACTATTGAAGGATATGTTTCTGAAGTCATTCTGGAAGACAATCCTTAGCTCTGATGATTATGGATAAATCATCTGAATCTGTGGCTCCAGACTCTGCAACTGCAATGGATATTGACTCTGCTCCTACTCCTGCACCAGAATCTGCTCCGTCTACTTCTTCTGAGATTAAGAAAGAGAATTCATATTTAGAAGATAAGATTGCAGTGCTGGAAGCTGGTCAATCTGAGATAAAGTCCTGGATGGCAAGGCAAGGTCAGAAGACTGAGAACATTGAGAAATGGATGTCCAAACAAGAACAATCTTCATCTAAGATCACTCACCTTCTGAAGATGCTTCTCTCTAAACAATCTTAGATTTATGTTTTCTTTATCTGATGTTTGAGCACTTGTTTTGAATTTCTCATCTGATGTTTTCGCATCTGAATATTTGAATGATTGAATCTGAATGTTTTCTCTATATGATTGTATCTTTTCTCTCTGTTTCCTTTATTTGTCTTTAAAAGTTTTCTTTTTGATTATGACAAAAAGGGGGAGAAAATGAAATTCTGACTGTTCAAATAAACTTTACCTGAATGGAATTCAGACATATCAAATCATAACTAACATGAATTTTTTAGTCTTTCAGAACTATAATGATAAATCTGACAAAATTCATTAAAGTAACTTTGAGATCCCTAGATCAAGTTTTAACCAATCAGGCTCTGATTCTGAAACGGTCATCCAAATCAAGCTCTAATTTTGAACATTCATGCTCTGATTCTGAAAAGAATACTCATGCAAAAAGGGAAGTTTCTATTCTTTCTTAATATTCAATTCAGGGGGAGATTCATAATCTCAGGGGGAGTTATAATTATCTCTTTATTGAACAAAATTTTTTAGGTTTTTGTCATCATAAAAAAGGGGGAGATTGTTAGAACACAAATTGGTTCTTAGTTATATCTCTATGTTTTGATGATAACACTTACGAAATTTTGTATTAAGAAATTATTTACTCTAAATTTGTTCAAGTATTTTTGCTGCAGATATTAAATTTAATATTCTTCTGAAAGCAAAAATGGATCTGAACGCTGAACTATGCAAGGCTCTGAAGCGTCAGAAGCATCTCTCTAGAAGACTCTGAGCACTGCCTACAGAAGACTCTGAGCGCTGCCTACAGAAAACTCTAAGCGCTGCCTACAGAAGACTCTGAAGCAGAAGCTACAGAAGCATCTGAAGTGTAGACTGAAGACTTTGTATGAAGAGTTTCAAGCACTGTTTTTTCAGAAGACTCTGATAGTATTGTTCGCTGCAAGTACTGAGGATCTGATCTCCAAACTCTGCTCTGATTGATGTCACGCTAAAGCACACTTGCTGCAACACTCTGATACAGCAAACTCTGATGACATCAAAGACTCTGATCACTCAAGGCTCTGATGTTGATTGTTGTGAAATAGAAATTTGTTGAAGAAGATTATTCAAATTTATATCCGTTGGTTATGCCAAACGACTCTTTCCTCTTTTATGCTAGACACAAGAACTCAGGCAAAAAGGATTTCTCTGAACGTTCTACTTCTGGGAAAGGTAAAGTCATGTGAAGACAAAAGGTTACAACTACTTTGCAGTACACGGTCTTCAAGCTTGCACCATCTTGGACTTCTAAGTCTATAAAAGCAAGCCTTCAACAACTTTCTTCAGTTGACGAACATTGACGTATTTTGACAAATTCATTGAAAATTCTCTCAAAGCTCTCATACAAATTATTATTCTCTGATTGAATAGTTTCATACGTTCTTAAACTTAAGTATAAATCACAGTTGTGATATAGCTTTCTTAGAAGCATTTAAACACTTGTTTAGTTTACATTTGATTGTAAAAGTTCCTTGAGAAGACCAAGTTTTGGTCAATAGTTCTTGAGAAGACTAAGACAGTTGTTCTTAGTGTTTGATATTGCAATCAGTTTGATTATAGTGGATTAAGTCCTTGTGGAGAAAGGAAAATCACTCTAGATAGGGTGGACTGGATTAGTTGAGTTCAACGAAGCAGGATAAAATTTTTTGTGTTTTTATTGCCATAATATTTTCTAAATCCTTATTCAACCCCTCCCCCTTGTAAGTATTTTCTAACCTTCATGTATGTCATGTCTGATGTTGAGACATTCATAATATGGACTGTGTAAGGTAAGTTAACTAAGCTAACTATAAGTTAAGCTGGATGTCATACTCAATGTTATGACATAGGTCGTATGACATCAAGCGCAGGTTTGTTATTCTGGTAGCTAGAACTGAGGAAACAAATCAGAAACTCAAGCTGGGATTCAGGAAATATTTTAGAATCCCTAAGCGAACTAAAATGTCCCTGAATGAATTGGCAAGTGGGCAGACAATTAAAGAAGAGGTTTTGTGATGAAAAACCGAGATTGTGCGCCCAGGCCCAAGGACTGATCTGCTGCTATAAATAACAGGAGAAGCAATCCTAGAAGGCAACTGTTGAAGATAGAGAAACAGAGAAATCACCATAGTGGTTTAGAAGTGAAGAGGTTGTTCTTCATGTTTGTGTCTTAGGAACACTTGTAATCAAGCAACTGTTGATTGCATTGGTTAGGTAGTTTCTAGCCTGTCTGTCACTCGAAGTTGTTAAGCAAGAGTGTGAGTTCCTTGATCAAAGCTTTGAAGTAAGATCAAGGTGTGTGTAGTTGAAGTGTTTCTTCTTACTACTGTTATACTTGTAAGTGTTGTTGGATATCATTCAGGTGATTGTGGGGAGTGAGTGGGTATACTCAGGTCTAGAGTGTCTCTAGGTTAAATTGTCATTGGGTAGGTTTTATGTGAGGAGTGCAAACTGGAGGTTTGACTCTGAATTAATTCTACTGATAGTGAAATTTCTCCCTGGCTTGGTAGCCCACAAATGTAAGTGTGTTGCACTGAACTGGGTCAACAACCAACTGTGTTATCTACTGCTTTATAATTACTGCATAATAGTAGGTTTGTAGTGAATGTCACAGTGAATGTTATAACTTCTGTGAGAACATCCATCGTGAGCTAGCCAGAATTTTCAATAAACATCCCTAGAAGGAGACTTAAAAGTTAGCAAGCTACATACAGATTGTTAAAGTGTGATAGGACACTAAGATCCAATATGTGCAATGACCCAATCATACATGCATAGATTCTAGAAGGTTGCATAAGCTGTAGGAATAATAGCTAGTTGGATATTTCCTGAATTTAAGGAAATTTTCTGTTGTAAAAGAGAGGGAAGGGTAATGTGTAACTCATTCAAAAAATATTGTTAGAAAGTTTGTTAGAAGAAGTTCTCTCCTTAGGAGCATTAGCGAGTTATAGTAACTCTGGTTTATCATTTTCTCTGCATTTCTATTATTGTAAGGGCTTTAAGCTCAACCATTTTCTATTAATCATACACTTTGTTGCTTGTGAATTCTGTTTCCTATCACCTTGGTATATGATTAAAATTTGAAATGAGAATGAAAAATGTGCAGTTACATCAATGCAGCCTCACTTTATCTTATTGCTTACACATACGCACTCGTTAGTTGCATACTAAAGACAAGTATAATTTTTTAACATTTGAATGATAACCTAAGCACTTGAATATGTTTTGTTGGAAGCACGCGTTCAACTATTTGATTTAGCTGGAGCTCTGATGGTTATGATGTATACAATCTAATTAGAACATTCATGCTTTCCACTATCTCAGAACTTCACTTGGGCAGCTCAAACAAAAGAGATCCCAGAACATGAAAACAAAAAAACAAACAAAAAAAATCAGAATATCTCAAGAATCTCTGAAATGAAATTATTGCAGAGTGGACAATTTCCCTTAGCCACCATAAGCTCCCTTGAACACATCCTGCAGAAACTGTGAACACTAGGTGCGAAAGCAGCAGCCTTGTGTTTCACCGTGCAAATACAACAAGTGCCTTCCATAGCACCTTCTCCAAGCTCATCATCTTCACCTTTATCATTGTCATCAAAGTCTTCATCATCACTCAATACATACCTTGACCCTTCTAATACCATCTCTCTATCAGTCTCCTCCAGTAAGTCCATTAGCAACATCATTGCTGGATGCCCTCCTGAAGTCTCTGCATCTGCCGCTGCTGTAGCTTCCGCCGCCTCCTGTGTTGCCACTGCCTCCCTCGCTCAAAGTGTCCTCCCTGTGTCTGGGTTCTTGTTGTCATCGTCGGATTCATCCTCATCGAAGCTTTCCCGAAAAGCCACCACATGTCCTCGGTGAAATGGCTCCGACGACACACTGGTGGAATTTCGTCGTGAGAGTTGTGGCCGGAGATTTCCCCCACTAGGAGAATTATCTGGGGAGTTGGGGGAGAAACGGGTGGAGCTGCGGCAAGTGAACTGAGGTTTACTGGTTGGAGCATTGTTTCCCAACAATGGGTCAAGGTCGCCCACTTGGTGAGTCATGGGCTGGGTTGACATGTCTGAGTTGTAGTGAGATTGTATTCGAACCGAGTCGCAGCATCCTAATTGAGAAAAACTTCTACTGTTTGGATTTTGGACAGGGATGTCTGAAGTTGGAATATGAATTGATGATGTCTAAGCAGATCCAGCGCGCTTGAGTCGAAGCTTTTCCTTGAAGGATTTCCAAGATCTTCCAACAAAAGAGAAATTGTTACCAACACAACTTTTAAAAAAGAACAAAACAACATAATCTTAAAACTAAAGTGTTGCTAAAAGATGATTTTAGTACCTACGGTTTTTTCTGTTGGTATCGTCTTCTCTGATAATGTCGAATAAGGTTCGACTCTTTGATGGAGGTGGTTGGTTAGGTGTTGTTGCCGGATTGTCTAATCTCCTTTTGGCTAATACGTCGTCAAGAGTCAAGCCGGTAAACTTCTCTCGACGATTCTCTGATGCTGACATTTCCTCATAAAAGCATTATCTTCTGGCTACCTTCAATGTTCAAAATACAGGCACAAACTATAACATCTAAATTATAGCTTTAAGGAACAAAAATTACATATAGGGTTCTAGGGTGCACAAAGCTTGATTTTATTGTGTTTTTATCATTGAGAGAATTTTGTTTTGTTTTCCTTACTTGTAGAAGTTTTTGACCGAACAAGAGGAAGAAAAACATAAGACATTCAATGCATGCACATTTTTCCCCGGGGAAAACTCTCTTCAGAGAAAATGTAAAGGCTAATTTGGAGAGAGATACAAATGTGTAAAATTCCATGATTGTCAAAGGATTGCTATATATAGTAGGATTTGAATCCAATGGAGGGACCTCACCCCGTGTACCATGAAAGTGGCCTTTAATCTAATCACCTTTGTTGCGGTTTTTGTTACTATTGAAATTTATCTCTTTTTAAGTTTGTTGTTCTGTAGTAAAATTTAAAAAGTTGATCAATTTTTTTAATGAGAAAAAGCTTTTTATTAAGAAGCAAGGGCCTGAGCAAAGAAACCCTGAGGGTCAAGTAAGGGGTATTCCCCTAATCAAATCTTGGAACCCAAAACTTTTCCAACTCTCACTAGAGTATGAGCAAGGAAATTTTGGTTTCTACTTATATGCATAACAGAATAGAAAGAAAAATTTCTAAAAAGAAGTTTGCAATCCTCAACAATAGTTTTAAAAGAGCAAAATTGGATCAAGATGGAGGATTTGAAATGACTCTAAAGTGTTAGTTCTCAAGGATAGGTGGATCCCTGGCAATCCTAGTTTCAAGATTCTGCAGCAAGGTAATGTTTTGGACACTGAAATAAAAGTATGTGATTTAATTGATGAGGATACTGGTCATTGGAAGGACTTAATTTTCTCTTTCTTTGGGCATGCTGAAGCGACCAGATTGTTGGTATTCCTTTATCTCAGAGAAATTTTGATGATGAGCTAATCTGGCATTATGAGAAAAATGGTAATTATTCTGTGAAATCAGCTTATCACCTGTACATGAAGGATCGACTTGGTTCGAGCCCTAACACCTCTAACGACCCTCACCAAAATCTTTGGAAGCTCATTCTAGAACAAAATCAAGAACTTTTTATGGAGATTGGCAAGGAACATTCTACCTTCAAGAGAAAATCTCAGAAATAAAGGTTTCATTCTCGATTCATCTTGCGCCTTCTGCCACTCTAATTCTGAAACTGTTGATCACATCTTTCTAGATTGTGTCTTTGCAAAACAAACTTTCTGTTGTAAATATTAGACTGTAAATAGTAATTAGTAGTATTAGTAATGAGGCCCATTAGTCAAAACCCATTAGGTTTTCTGTTCTCTCTTATTTAAAGCATGTAGTTGCAACATTGTAACCTGAACTTTTAATTCCATCAGTGAAACATTTTACAACATGGTATCACAGCTCCTGTTTTTTGGGGGTGCCGCTTCCGCATAAACCCTAGCCGCCGTTGTAACGGAGTTTTTTTCTTTCTTTCACTGCCGGTCATCCTTGTAGTTTTTTTTGGGTGTTTGGATCATTGATGTTCTGTGTTGCAACACATTCTATTTCTTGGCTTTGCTTCACATCTCTCACTGTTCACTCATCTTTGCAACCCTACACTGCTTGTTTTTTTGATATTTTGTGTTTTTTTCTTTGTGATTCTATACATATATGCTGTTTGTTCCTCTCAATTGTCCTTTCAATGGCCGAGATTATTAAAGAACAACCACCTCCGCCTCCACCTCCCACAAATCCACCATCCCATTTAATGCTAAGGATTTTGTCGTCCAAAAAGGTTACTGGCTTACCGGAAAAAACTATTTTCAATGGTCTCAGTTCATCAGACACACTCTAAAATATTGTGACATGCTAGATCATATTGAAGGCAATCCTCCTCTGGTTACTGCTCCTAATTTCCCTTCCTGGGATAAAGATGATTCTGCTATTATTACTTGGCTTTGGAACTCCATATCTCCAGAAATTAGTATAAATTGCATGTATCTCTCAAGTGCAATGGCCATTTGGGATTATATTCGTCGAAGTTATTCCATGAGACAAGATATGTCTGCTTGTTATGATTTAAAGAGGAAAATCTTCAACATTAAGCAGGGAAGTCTTTCGGTCAACGATTACTTTGGAGTTCTCAATGGTTTTTGGATTGAGTTGGATCAATATCAGAATTTGAAGATGGAGTGCAGCAAGGATACTGCCACCTTGAATACTATTGTTGAGCGGGATAGGATCTTTGATTTCTTAGCAGGCCTTAATGCTGAATTTGACCCTATTCGGGTGTAGATTTTGGGTAAGGAAAAATTTCCTGATCTTAATGAAGTTTTTTACACTGTTCGTAGTGAGGAGACCCGTCGTCAAGCTATGCTTCATGAACAGCCCCCGGATGTGTCAGCACTAGTAGCTAGCAAAACAACAAGACAAGGACCACCATCATCATCATCTAAGAATGGTCGTGACAAATTCTATTGTGAGCATTGCAACCGATCAGGGTATACAAAGGATAAGTGTTTCAAACTACATGGGAGGGAACAGGTTCTTAGCCGAGGAGGTAGTTCTCGCAACATGCACCAACATCAGGCACATGTTGCCACACATGCCCATGATACTGAAAGATTTGAAAAAGGGGGTGTTGCGGTGAAAATTGGATATCAAGCTATTAAATTAACTTGAACCTTAATTCTTTTACAACCGAACTTTATTTTATCCAAAGGAAAGGTCTAAAGAAAGAAAAACCCTTTTCGCGATGTAACGACAACGCTTAAGAGATTCGAGGATCGGGGGTTGGTTATACCTAGGGAAGGTGTTAGCACCCTAAATATCTGTAGTGCTCTACATAAACCTTTTGTTTGATTGCTTGTTAATTTTGTGATATGTACTATGGATTTGGGATTGGGAAAAGATATGAGTTGAAACCTAAAGTTATATACACTAAGTTTGCTCGCAAATACGTCGCATCTTCTGCCTACGTATCCTAACTAGGATAGAATCAGAGCAATCGTAGTTCACCTCACAAGGGAAGAAGAACACTTGATTATGATCAAGGTTCAAGGGGGAACAAACATGACAATGTTTGTGTGGAGTTTGACAAACTCCCTAGTCTAAATTGTAACACTCAAAAGGGGAAGTAAGAAATCATGACGATGATTCTTACATAGAGTTGACAAACTCTATCCTAGGGTTCTAGTTGAAGAACACTCCTAGTACAGGTGGATTTTTTTTAGACTTAAAGCAAATTCTAAGGGTTTATAATCTAGGGCTAAAGTGACTTAACAAAGTCAAGGGGGGATAAGAGATGTTTCCATGACATGAGGGTCAAATGGACAGACTTTTCCTTTGGAAGTAGACAGGGGAGGTAACAGGATGAGAGCTAACAAGCTTCATCACTTGGAGAAATAAAACAACAAGAAAATTAACAACATGATAAATGAATATTCATGGTGACAACCATTAAATAACACGTGGAATGATAAAGATGAAGGTGCATTGATAACAATCAAAACAGATGAATTAACAAGAACTGTAACGACAGATCGAGTTCAATTACATTCAACAGAGGGAACATGGTAACAACCAAAAATAAAATCCTAGCATGTTAACTAACATATAAGGATATAAATACAAGCAAGTATCACAAACAAATTCAAGTATAACCAAAGAAAAATTCATCTGCACATGCGTAAACGAACGTAAAAAGCACTCAACTTGCACGTAGTCAAAAAAGATGAAAAATTTGTCAAACATGAAAATAAAAAATATTACATGAAAGTACACATCAAGATGAACACAATGAAAAAAAAACGGGTGAAAAAAGATTAAAATTGAGAGAGATACGGATTTTTGAAAATGGAGTGAAAAATGCCAAAAAAATAACAAAAGAGTTGCCCTCCTCAGGGGTCGAACTCAAGTACAAGGCGTGCAAGGCGTTTTTGGCATAATGGTCTTACCACTGGGGTGGCTATACATCCGTTTGTAAAATCCACCCCTTTAATTAATAAGGGTAAAAAGCTAAATGTCTTGGGCCAAAAATAACACATGAAAAGTGATTTACGTTTTCTACCGTAACTTTCTCGTTTCTCAACCAAACGCAACAAAATTTATATGTATCTTAACTAGAAAAACATGAGGAACATGATGGTGTGATTATTTTTCTGAGGTTCTTCCTCCATTTTAAAATTCTATGGCAGGTGTCTTTTGAAACTTAAAAATGCATTTTGATGTTCACAACTTGTTTCAAACCGTTTCAATCCAAACCAAAGCAACACACATCTCACATAAATGATGATGAATGATTCCAAGTTCAAAAAGAATTGCAAGAGAAACTGTTGGTAAAAATGATATGTCAAGTGGTAATTTATGTTAAAAGATGCATCTTGAAGCATATCATTCATGACAGTGGGTTTTGAATCAAGGAAATTATGTACACGCAACATATAAGTGATGGGGGATGAGTTTATACAAAGGAAATAGTGCAAGTCATGCTGTGATGGAAAATGAGGTGTGAGCTGCAATCTTGTGCTCTTGATGCATTTTTGAAATAAACCATTCATGACAGTTGGTTTTTAAAGGTATGAATCATGTAAACACCTTACATAAGCATTAATGAGTGAAACCAAATCAACTTTAAGGATGAAGTCAAACTATGGTGAAAAGTACCATGTGAATTGCACAATTTTGAAAAATGCTTGATTATGTAAAATTCAAGTTCATGAGTAGCAAGCTAATGCAAATCATACATACACCTTGGAAATGCATCAACAAGTAAGATTCAAACCAAAGAAAAGTTCAACACAACCTGTTATGGAAAATTGGCATGTGAGTTGCTTAATAATGCTTTGAAAATGTATCATGATGTACAACTCAAAACATAATGGATCCAGGTCAGATGAGGGTGTGCACATCCTTCAAACATGTATATTAATGGTCCTAGATGCCTAGCTTAGTCAAGAAGAGCTCTAAACCAAAATTGGCATGCTAGTG